CGGTATCGGTATCGGCCAAAATGAGTTGAAAAATATCGTCAAAAATCCAATATCGTGCATCCCTAAATAAATATATTATATATTTTATAAATATATAAAACATATTGTGTTTATATATGTGGTCATCCGATATTCTATTTGGCCGATAAGTGTTGGGACTTTTATTTTGACAGCGCGCTCCCTTTCTCCTTCATTAGTTTACTTTCTTTAGTTTCGTTTATTATACTTTAGCCTTTGTTTAACAGTTCTGTCTAATAATTCAAAGGAAAATGCTATACCACTTTTCATATATTCATTCTCTTACTATACTATATAATTATCATACAATAATATGATTACGGAATCAAGAAGTTCATATCTATATCAGACATTATAAATGTGTTATTTACTATTTTTAAATCAAATAATAATTTAATAATTAAAAAAATGTAATTGTTTTTTTTTTATTAATAAAGTATTTAACATTTAAATAATAGTATGACATCACATCAGCTTTATCTGCCTTCAGAAAAATCTGTATCAGCCACTAAATATGGCTATAAAATAAAATATTTTATTTAATTTATTTAATATATTATTGTTATTATGAAATATTATTCATAGAGGACCTACATATTTTGGATGCGATTAATCGATTTGACAGCATTATTTATTATATAATTTTTTGAATATTAATAATAATAAGTATTATTATATATCAATATTGATACGTAATTACAGAATTTAGGCAAAATACAAGCAAGCACAGGAAACGTGATTTTATTTTAAATCACTTTTTTACTAAAATCTTATTTTATCAGAAAAGTTTTTTTAATAGTTTTTTTTTATTTAACTTTAATAACTGTGGTTTGTAGGGCTACACAATTTAACCAAAAAAATAATAATTTTTTTAATTATAATTATTATTATTATTACTAAAATAAAAATATTATATAATAGGGCCGCACAATTTGGGCAAAAATTGTGTGATTTTATATTGATTTGGCGATAAAATAATTGTCACACACATACATGTATATATTTATAGAAATAATTACATGTGTATATATATATTCATATTTATATATTATTTATATTATACATAAATATAAATATATATTACATGTATTTCTAAAATATTTACATGTATGTATGTGTGAGTATAGATATATACATAAAAAAATTATTTTACATCAGCTTTATCTGCCTTCAGAAAAATCTGTATCAGCCACTAAATATGGCTATAAAATAAAATATTTTATTTAATTTATTTAATATATTATTGTTATTATGAAATATTATTCATAGAGGACCTACATATTTTGGATGCGATTAATCGATTTGACAGCATTATTTATTATATAATTTTTTGAATATTAATAATAATAAGTATTATTATATATCAATATTGATACGTAATTACAGAATTTAGGCAAAATACAAGCAAGCACAGGAAACGTGATTTTATTTTAAATCACTTTTTTACTAAAATCTTATTTTATCAGAAAAGTTTTTTTAATAGTTTTTTTTTATTTTTTATTATATGTTCCATTTTAATTAATTTAAAAAAAAATAATTGTGTGTTTTTTGTCATTTTTATTTATTTATTTATGTATTTATTTTGTGTGTGTGTGCATGTATTAATTTTTATTTCAATTTTAGTGCATCACGTTAAGCTAAAAATTTAGGAATGTTGCCGTGGCAACTAACAAATAAAATTAGTAATTTTTAAAAATGTTTTATTTTTTATTTTTAGTTTTAATTATTATTATCAGAAATTATTTCAGTAATAATTAATAATAAATTCAATCGTTATTGCATAATTGTCCATTTTTATCAGAAAAATTGCATTGATTTTTCCCCCCTGAATCGTGCCGCTCCAGTCTGGATTCTGGGCTCATTGTTGATGTTGTTTGTGTGCAGGAGAGAGAGATGAGCATCGCTCTGCTGAAGGATCAGCTGCACAGGGTGAGTCTCCACACGCTCTGATGGGATGCTCGCTTTGACCTTTGACCTTTGACCTGTGCTGGTTTCTCTGCAGGCCTCACAGGAGGGCGACGAGCCCACGGCGGAGCTGCTGCTGGAGCTGCAGGAGGTCAAAGGTGAAGCGGCCGCCACCAAAGAGAAGCTGAGGAGCTCCCGGGAGCACAGCCTCAAACTGCAGTATATATATATATATATTGTATAATATAAGCCATATATATGATGGTAATTTCCAAACATTTAAATAATCAAAATAGTACATTTACCATATTATGCATTAATTAATGAATAAAGTATTATTATGTCATACATGACACAAAGAGCAAAACAATTTACCCTCACTCTGGTGTAATGCATTAGGAAATCGTTATGTGAGTGCACGTGTCTGTATCTTGAAAATAATGCATTACAACTTTATTAAAGGGGTCATATGATGCGATTTCAAGTTTTCCTTTCTATTTATATTATACATAAATATAAATATATATTACATGTATTTCTAAAATATTTACATGTATGTATGTGTGAGTATAGATATATACATAAAAAAATTATTTTGGATGCGATTAATCGATTTGACAGCATTATTTATTATATAATTTTTTGAATATTAATAATAATAAGTATTATTATATATCAATATTGATACGTAATTACAGAATTTAGGCAAAATACAAGCAAGCACAGGAAATGTGATTTTATTTTAAATCACTTTTTTACTAAAATCTTATTTTATCAGAAAAGTTTTTTTAATAGTTTTTTTTTATTTTTTATTATATGTTCCATTTTAATTAATTTAAAAAAAAATAATTGTGTGTTTTTTGTCATTTTTATTTATTTATTTATGTATTTATTTTGTGTGTGTGTGCATGTATTAATTTTTATTTCAATTTTAGTGCATCACGTTAAGCTAAAAATTTAGGAATGTTGCCGTGGCAACTAACAAATAAAATTAGTAATTTTTAAAAATGTTTTATTTTTTATTTTTAGTTTTAATTATTATTATCAGAAATTATTTCAGTAATAATTAATAATAAATTCAATCGTTATTGCATAATTGTCCATTTTTATCAGAAAAATTGCATTGATTTTTCCCCCCTGAATCGTGCCGCTCCAGTCTGGATTCTGGGCTCATTGTTGATGTTGTTTGTGTGCAGGAGAGAGAGATGAGCATCGCTCTGCTGAAGGATCAGCTGCACAGGGTGAGTCTCCACACGCTCTGATGGGATGCTCGCTTTGACCTTTGACCTTTGACCTGTGCTGGTTTCTCTGCAGGCCTCACAGGAGGGCGACGAGCCCACGGCGGAGCTGCTGCTGGAGCTGCAGGAGGTCAAAGGTGAAGCGGCCGCCACCAAAGAGAAGCTGAGGAGCTCCCGGGAGCACAGCCTCAAACTGCAGGAGGAGATCGAGGTACTTCCTGTCCACTTCAGCTTAGCTTCCTGTCTGCTTCCTCTAGTGCTTGATGAAGGAACCACAAGAGCTTCATGGGATTGTTATGGAGTTGCCTAATATTTTACATACAAGTATGAAATTAAATGATCGAATGAGTAACCTTAATCTCATATTTTAGTTCTACAAGTGTGTTTTTGAATTTTGTGAACTTTTTGAAAATTACAGTTTGAAAATTAAAGAACTTTCTGTATTTTAAAATGATTTATTTTAATTTTACATTTTAATGATTTTATAAATTTTTAGCGTTTCATTTCGATTGTTTTTATTTTTATTAAGTCCCTTATTTATTTTAATCCTACATTCTTATTTTATTAATTTTTACTAAGTGTTTTATTTTGTTTTATCTTAACATAATTTAAATTGTACATGCTTATGATTTCATTATTTTTTTAGTGTTTTATTTTGATTGTTTTTTTTTATTATTATTTATTCATTTCAATTGGCTTTTTATGATTTCATTAATTTTAGCATGCAAAACTTAAAAACATTTACTTATTTTAATTTTACGTTTTTATTATTTTATACATTTTTATTAAGTGTTTTCTTTCAGTATGTTATGATTTAATTAATTTAGTATGTTTTGATCGTTTTTATTTTTAAATTGTTTGTTTTAATTGAAATTTTTAATTAATTTTAGTATGTTTTGATCGTTTTTATTTTTAAATTGTTTGTTTTAATTGAAATTTTTAATTAATTTTAGTATGTTTTGATCGTTTTTATTTTTAAATTGTTTGTTTTAATTGAAATTTTTAATTAATTTTAGTATGTTTTGATCGTTTTTATTTTTAAATTGTTTGTTTTAATTTTACACTTTTTTGATTTAATTCATTTTAGCACGTTTTGTTTTGATGGTTTTAATTTTTAAATGATTCATTCATATTAATTTTGCATCCGAAATAGCCGGCCGTGTTGATGTTGTTGGATATTCTCGTGAAACATTTGGCACAGATGCGACTGGTCTATTTTCCTGCATTTATTGGCACACACAGCAGACAGAAATCAAGTGTGTTATGTCTGCTGGTGTTGTTATAGCTGTGGTGTCTCTCTCAGGTCAGAGACGCGTGCATCGCTGAGCTGAAGGACAAAGTTCAGGAGCTCCAGACCGCTTTGGCCAAATCCAGCGAGGAGCCGCTACAACAAGAGAAAAAGAAAGGAGGCAGCAGAGAGCATCATGGGATGGACAAAAGCAGGAGCTCCTCGTCCTGTGTGGACGTGTGTGTGCAGACGGATCCGTCCGGAGCCCAGGAGCTGCAGGAGGTGATGCTGGGATACGAGGAGAAGATCGCACAGATGCAGGAGCTGCACGCGGCTGAGATCCTGGACATGGAGGCCAGACACATCTCTGAGAGCGAGAGCCTGAGGAGAGACAGCCAGCAGCTGGAGGACGAGTGCAGAGCGCTCAGACACAAGCTCAGGACCGCGCAGGTCACATCAACTACTACTTTTCTGTTTTTATTTTTAGATTATTTCATTATTGTAATTTTACATTTTAACCATTTAATGAATTTGTATTTTATATATGTGACCCTGGAACACTGAAATTGAGATTTATACATCCTCTGAAAGCTGAATAGATAATCTTTCCATTGATGTATGGTTTGTTAGGATAGGACAATATTTGGTCGAGATACAACTATTTGAAAATCTGGAATCTGAGGGTGCAAAAAAAATCTAAATATTGAGAAAATCATCTTTAAAGTTGTTCAAATGAAGTTCTTAGCAATGCATATCACTAATCAAAAATTACATTTTGATATATTTACGGTAGGAAATTTACAAAATATCTTCATGTATATATATATATATATATATAGTTTAATTAATTTATCCATTCACTATAGGGAAATACAAACATTATCAATGTATCACATTTAAATAATCACACAAAAAATTAAATACATTAAAGTATTGAATCACTTGAAACAAAAGGAATATATTTGATACATTTGACATAGATGAGTTATTTTATATTATTTTTTTATTCATAATTTAAATTAGTTGTTCATTTTTATATTTTTATTTATATTTAACTTTTAATTACATTTTAATTAAATTTCTTTTTTTTTGTTATTTTAATGTATATATAGTTTTTATTAATTTTTTATTTTAGTTATAGTTATTTTAGTTCATCAAGTTAAACTGCATGAAAATGAGAAATGTTCCCTTGTCTGTAGTTTTTATAAATTTGAATTAGTTTTTCATTTTTATATTGTTAATTTTTTGTTTTATTAATTTTTTGTTTTTGTCTTTTTTATTATTATTATTTAATATATCTATATAGTTTTTATTAATTTTTACTTCGGTTTTAGTTATTTTAGTACGTCAAGTTAAAGTAAATGGGAATGAGAAATGTTGCTTGGCAACTATCTGAAATAAAATAATTTAAGTTTTTGTATATTTTATTTTATTTCAGTTAATGTTTAGTTTATTTCAACTTATTTCTGAAGTTGAGGATCTTATTACATCTTGATCAACATTTATGAAAGTAGTTATTTGGTTTTTAAATAACATGCACTAATGAATAATTCATAATAAAACCAGAGACATTGATTAAGAAAAGAGTCAATTCTCCTTTAAATTAAAATGAATGTGTCTAAATGTATTTATATTATTGTGGATGGTTTGTAATATCAGATGGTGATTTTTCTTCGTCAGGCTCCGTCAGTGAGGTCTGAACACTCAGCCGTCTCTCCGTTTAAAGACGGATACGCCAGTGGTGAGAGATTTATTATTACTACAACAACTAGATATTCATTTTATGTTCTGGGTTATAAACACTAGTGTTTAAAGCATCATTACTCCAGTCTTCAGTGTCACATGATCTTCAGAAATCATTATAATATGCTGATTTGCTGCTCAAGAAACATTTATGATTATTATCAATGTTGAAAACAGTTGTGCTGCACAATATTTCTGTGGAAACTGTGATACGTTTTATTTTTCAGGATTCACAGATTAATAGAAAGTTCAAAAGAACAGCATTTATTTGAAATAAAAATGTTTTGTAACATTATAAATGTCTTTACTGTCACTTTT